TTGACTTTGCTTATCTATGCTTAGATAAATGTAAGTCATTAAAATGCACAGCCACATTACTTCATGTGGGTTAACAAAGTATGAAAACATCTAATAAATTCATGATTCATGGCAGTACTTTGAAAAACAGCACACATACTTCTAACCGAGGTACATTTTATTTGAAAACCACAATGTATGTTGCAGACTTTCTTAACATAAATAGTCTACTTTTCAGAGGTGCTGAAAAACTGCAACTACTATAAAAATTGATGGGGCTCACACCAAGGTAATGTAGTGTCACTTGTCCAACTCATTTACCCTTATAAGTACAGTTACTGTGAAGATATGCACACTTCAGTCTCAAACTGTGTTCACAGCAAACTCACAGTTTCCGGTAGGTTTAAAAGGCAACGAGAGACAAGCAGCTTTACACTGCTAATACAATATGTCACTGAAGTATCTGAGAGCAGAGTCAGAGCAACCAACTTGACTAGTGCCGACCCCGGTGAAGCGGGTACTGCAGGCAGTTGTTTGTGCATTTCCTTTGTCAGAGATTAATATCCTTTTCTAGCAAAAGTCTATTCTTCCTTTTTTTCCTTTTCCTTTTTCCCCTTTCCTTTTCCTTTTTTCCTTTTCCTTTCTCCACCATTTCATCAAAAAACAGAAAAACAGGGAGAATGATGGGGCTAAAACAGAAATAACTTTCAGTGGGGCTGAAGTGAGATAGGGAGATCCAACAGGGAGCAGTAAATATTTCCACCCGGATGACGGTGATGATGAGCGGGTTAGTCTGTCTAGCTGTGCCTCACGCCCCGGTGAACTCTACGAGTCAGGCACATTCAGGAAGGATGACTGCAGTGAGGATGAGCAGGGGAACAGAGAGCTTCTCTTACGGAAGGAGGCTAATAGACACAGGTCTGGTCAGTGTGCAGCAAATAAAGACAAAGAGGAAAGAGGATGGTTCTTCATTAGTATAACCAGGAATGAAAACCAAGAAAATGGTCACTTAAGCTACAGGATAAAAGTTGCTTAAAAACAAGCTGGTATAAAATTCTGTGAGTCAGTTCAGGTTAGGAATCAGGCAGAGGTTTCTAAAGAGCAAAGCAAGTGAGGCCCTGTAGAACCCCCCAGCAGTTACTTTGGCTACAGCTGCCAGCCAAGTGTTCAGCCTAACATTTGTGGGGAAGCAATATTGTGGCTGTCCCCTTCTCAGTCTGCCCCTCATATCCTCTGTCACATCCCCATTGCAGGAGCTCACAGACAGGCACGGCTGTTACACAGGAGAGACAGCCAGGAGCAGCACCAAAGCATTGGTTCCAGAACATCAACTGATGATCGTGGAACTTGCATGTGGGAAAAATGGTAAGGAGCCAGAGCCAGAGGATGAAACCAGAAGGGAGGAGGCTGATGTGAGGGCGATGTAGCCGGCTTCGTTCTGATTTCCTAATCAAGGCTTAGCAGACATGATTTGATGTTAGACTGTTCTGACATCGGGGATAATCAGGCCAGCCAAGTTCAGATCTTGAACACGTGAAGAAGGAAGCCACGCAAAGAATAGTGTTGTAATGTTTCAATTTATTCCTCTGAAGGATTTGCAAATGACATTTTTCCTGCAGCAGGAGAACCTTTGGTAGGGCTGGGATGGCAATGACCAATGGAGAACAATAAGCATTCTAACCCAAATCAGCATCACCAGCTCTCTAACTATAAAAAATAATTAATTTGTTTAGCACTTCAAGCTCAGTAAAATACAAAACCTCAGAGGCCATCTGCACTTGAAAGCTCTTTTGGATTAAGGCAGTGCAGGAATTTACACTCCCCAGGTTCCCTTTGCATACTTAAAGTGCAGTTGATTTTTACTCCAAGAAAGACAGGTTTTTGTAACTTAATACATTTTCAAAGTGGGGAGTGTCCACACCTGTGCTCAAGCACAGAGCCTGTGAGCATTCACTCACATACTCCATTTCATGTAGATGAATGTATCTATCAGGTTTCATAGGGTTGCTCATGCACATGCCAAAACATTTACAGGACTGGAGCCCTGCTTTGTAGAAAGGGATGTGTGTTGTGCCCTCGAGTACCACCTTAAAGAAAAATACTAATCCCCAGACAGGCTGCTAGTGTATCCCACCATCTCTCCCATCTCTCTGATATCATTCCATTTAGCTCTCTCACACTCCCAGATAATGCACACATGTTCACTCATACACAAACCCTACGGCACCCCTTCCCCCCATGAAAAAGTCAGCCAGCTGCTACAAAATTCAGACATTTCATTAACAGAGTTTACTGGATGATACTGCCAAGCAAAATAGAGACAATTAATAATAATCAGGACTGAAGGGTCTGAGACAGCTTATGAGTAAAAGATTGTATTAGTTGTTTGAAAAGGACAAACTCGCTCCTGCCTGGAGTGATAGGGAACAAAGGGCAGTGATGTATAACCAGGGAGGAAAGAGACTCTCTCTGTGGCTTTTGTAGATTACTGTGTGAATGACAGGAGAGGCAGGAGCAAATACCTCTTTTCATTTGCTCAGCCTGCTGGAGAAGAATAGCAGCTCTTGCCAATGAAGCTGCAGCTGTGCTCCAGCTCCGTTTAATCACTGTGTACGACTGAGGGTTAATTAGCTGCCATTCTTACTCCTATTTGTTGTTCTAATGAAGATTTGCATAAATGTAAGAGCAGGGGGTAACTGATACTTGATTCTTCCCTTCAGAGAGGCCAGGGGTGGAACACTTGCCCATCCTAAGTGTTTATGTTTGTGGGAGATTCAGTGTTGCCTTTCCATTTGACCTGATCTGCTTCTGGCTGATGAATGGTGAAAAAAGAGTTCAAAGTTGCTTATCAAATAGAGACCCCTGTTGTGTTTCTGCCTTTAGAAAGGACAGAGGCATTAGAAAATTACTCCCAGCTGACAGAGAGGAAAATACATATATGCATGTTTCTGTACCTACATATGTATATATATCATGTATATATATCATATACATGATATATTTTAGTGATCTATCTATCAGTGATCTACCTATCTACCTATCTATCTATCTATCTGTCTATCTACCTATCTATCCATCCATCCATCCACTCATTTAATGGCACATAACCAATCATTTTTAAATGATAAAATATCATAAAAAATGATGAGACAGGTAGTACAACTGTAACAAATTAGGCAATAGGATGAAAAGTAAGGACCTGTAGGTTTTTGCAAGCTTTCTGTTGTAAATCACTAACATTCAAAGTTCACTTTTTTAATAAAAAAAGTATCTATCATGAAAGAGGAGATCTCCAAGGAAGGCAAAAATGACTCAACAGTTCGCATATACCTGCCATCAGTGCCTTGTGAGAGTGCACCACAGAACTTAAGAAATTGCATTCATTCCTCAAAAAACCAAAGGAAAATTTTAACATGAAGCAGTGACAAAATCCAAAACTACTTCATAATTAAAGAGAAGATTTGAAAATTAAAGATCATAAAATTCTTTTATTTACCATGGTCAGGACAATGCTTATGGCTGGTAACTGAAAGAAGCTAAATGGAAGAACTTACCATTTTTAGTATGTTAACTTCTTGTACATGATACTATAGTATAGTTAAGTGTTTTCAGTATTCCTCTTACACATTCGGTCTGCTAAAACTGTTGTTTAACAGCTTTGGTGAGGATTTAAGAAAAAGATTGAGAGGGCAGAAATAGCAAATTTCTAAATTTCCAATCACTGCTGGAAAACATCCAACTTTTGAGATGACTGTATCCCTCCTAAGAGAGGTGATCACCACAGAGTACACACTTATTGCCAGTTTCTCAATCCCACCAGCTTTGCAGTGGCTCTAGCTATTCACCTGTCTCTAAGACACATGAGCAAATATTAATTTGCTTTTCTTTACACTTCTGTCATGAATCTGCCTGACTACCTACAGAGGCACCTCTGCATATTTTGGGGTAGACACTACCAGAAACCAATCTTTCAGAGATGTAAGCAAACGAGCATTCAATACTCCTGAAATAAATATGCCTAAAATGGCAACACTATCACTCCAGCTCTTAGCTAGAAGGAGCACCATAGGTTTTAAGCTTATATACAGTTAGAAATGCACATGAAAATAAAAACAGTCAAATGTATTTCTGCACATTCTCACCTTACTTTAAGTCTTGAAATATTTCAATATTCTATTACAGCTTTTGATTCAGCCCCTGATTACACCAGAATCTCATATGCTGCCTTTTTCAAAGCAATTTTTAGCCCTTTGGGCAAATTAGAAAGAATATTGAAGTGTACAATAAAAATAAACTAGAAACAACCCTCATGACATATAAACAGATCACTTAATTTTCCTTCAATGTTTCTTTAATAATTTCTACATACTACGATTTTCCAAGGCTACAGTCAGAATTATCCATTGGTAAATAGGGTAAGAGAAAGTGGAAATTACAGATCTAGTGGTCGATGGCAAAAAACAAACAAAAGAGCTGAGGGGAGAGGTTAAGTGCTGCGCTAGTTAATAAGAATGACAGCTTGCTTTGAATACTCATACTGACTGCCCAAGATATTGAATAAACCTCATTTAAACTAATTTTCATTATTTGTAGAGTCTGTGTTAGGCATCTATCATTGTCAGTACTATTAATATTCTTTCCAGAGACCACATTATCAGCATATTTAAAGGAAAACTTCCTTTTCAATATTTATTAACTCATTAATATTTCTTGGTAGTAATATCCTGGTAGCAATATTCAAATTAGTGCATACTAAGGTATTTTCTACTGATTAAACTTTCTGAATCAAAAGATTTTTATTCTCCAGTACTAAAAATGCACTTGAGCTCCCGGAATTTTGCTTGCTTTCTTTACTGTTTACATGAATGGCACACATGGTCTTATTTATATGAATGGGACTTAAAAGCTACATTTTTGTCTTTTTTCAGTAGGTTCAGTAAACCAGAGCACTGACCACATCCTAGGAGCTGATCAAATATGAACTGTGAATAAACATGAATATGAAAGTTAATTTGTCTTACCCGGGTTGCAGTCTGTGAGGAGGGAGCAGATGGAGAGGAGAACTTTAGAAATGGTTAACGCTGGACTCCAGTTGTCTTTTAAAATGTCCAGGCAGATGACGCCTTGGCTGTTAATGTTACAGTGGTAGATTCTTGTCCGAAATGTTACCTAGAAAGGACAGTGTGTCTAAGTACAACAGTGTTCAAGTCAAAGATTACACAGTTATCAATCAATTAAAAAATCATAAGAACTAACATTTTGCTTTCCTGGTTGAAATGAGAGTGTGCTGCTACTTTCAGTCAAAAACTGGCTAAGATAAAATAGTTTATAGATAAAATAGTTGCATCTCTGGCCAGCACTAGGAACTGGTTTGTCCAAGATGAGAATGGGACATATTTCCTGAGCTTCCCCTTGCCTTGGTCTCATCAATCACATTATTTTTGTATGGGGCCAGAAAAACCTGTTCCACCCCCTGATCTGGACAACATTCATAATTCAGGTCCACCGCTCCTTCATGCTTTGAAGGGAGTCAGAAGACAGATTCTTCTGCTGTCTTCATCTATTTATCATTTGACCCAAACCTTAAGCTGGAAAAAAAGGGTGGAGGCATCACATCAATGACTCCTGAAAAAGATGAAGTGAAACATTTTTGAGAAAGGCTGCTCAAATAAAATGCTTTTATTTCCAAATTTTGAGTTACAGTTGTACCAATAGAACAACTTTTTAGGGTTTTTCGGTAGTTGATTTTGAGGCTTTCTGCATCCATTTTATACTGTCTCCCAGGTGATCCTATACATAACAAAGCAAAGAGGAGAGCACTTCTTTTAGCCTAGAATGATGTCCTTCTGCTTCAAGTTGAAGACACAGGCCTTTTTATTTTAAAAGAAGCTTAGCTAAGAAAGTTCACTTCAGAATGAATAATGGGGTTACTGGATAAGGAGGGACAATAAGAAAAAAACACCTCTTGGAGGTTATCAAGGACTAATTTATCCATCACTTCTACCCAAATGACAAGTCAAACCAGATGGTTTCAATGATGAGTTCACAGAACCTAAAATCAAGATGTAAATTTTTAGGGGTCTACTCATCAGCAATAACCCTGCCAACAGAGGGGCTGATTAGGCAGGAGACAACAGCAGGCAAAGCACACCCTGACTTAGGAAAGCCATGATCTTCATTAGAATTGGACAGTGCTAATAACTGGGAGTCCTTACGCACCTATCCCTGCTCTACCACACCGATAAACCTGCATCTGGAGAGTAATGGAAACTGATGACAGGGATGCTCCTGTTCTGATTTTCTTCAGTATCAGAGATCTCAGTGGGATTGAGATCAGGCCACTTAGCAGTAAGCAGAAGAGAGAATACAAGTGAAATTACACAGTATCTGGTTTATTTCTATTAAAAAAAAATCATTCTCTAGCACACTGAAAAATTCTGTCCCTTTGGATTAAATCAAGAAGCTTTGACAAAATAATGGAAAGAAAAGGTAATAGATTTCTGGTATTAAAACACTGCATTCAACAAGAAATACTTCTTCTCATAAGTACTTTTCCACATAAATTTGGGAAAGCACTTTTGGATGCACTGTCATTCATCAGCAGTTAGTTCTATACCAAGGACCCCCCAAAAAGCAAGTTCATCAGTTTTTAAACTATGTCTAAAGGTATTGCTAATTAATAGGATAATTTCATAGTTTGCCACTCCATATCCTACATATTTATAGGTTCTTTCCTTTTTTCCCCTACAGTTGTGGTTTTGCTTCTTGTCTTACAGCCTAAGTGCTTCACTTCTGGGACTTTCATGAGAATTCAAAATATTTCTGGCACAATGATCTGAATTAATCGAAATGCTCTGGCCAGACAATCTATTTTTTCCTCCTCATTAGGAGGCCAAGCACATTTAGCATTTGGTGTGAAGGAAGTCTCCTGCAAAATCAAGATATTTATTTAAATAATAATTATTATCGAGTGATAAAATGAAATGTTTGTCTACAAAGGGAAGCTATTTTGAACAACGAAGGTTACAAATACACAAAAGTGGTAAACTACCTTACACACGAACTGCATGTCACAAATGTCCATAAAGGGAGCTGGTGTGGAGGAGCATCCTGTGAACTGCAGGTCAGTGCTTATAAAGTCCACAGTCAGGTTAACTCCAGGCACTCTTATACTCCAGTTAGAAGTGAATCAGGAAATGCTTCCTAGCAGGATGTCCCATGACTAAGGCAAACTTCAGCATCTGCTTAATTTTAAGTACTCTATGCTTACTTTTCAGTACAGTGTTGGAATAAAGTTTTTGCTTAATTCTTTTACCTGAACAAAGGTGCTTTTCCTTGATGAAAAATTTGAAGACTTTATTTAGTGGTATCTAAATACACTCGGTAATAAGATATATGTGGTCTCACTGAATGTGGGGGAAACACACTGAACCCATTACACAGATTAAATTATACCCTCTGAATTATTTATAGACAGGTCAGTCTGAGTTTGTAACATGCTTAAGGGAAGGTCATCAATTTGAGCCTGCATTTTAACATGTAACTGTTTTGCCATCAGCTGAGAGGACAGACACATTGCCACATGTTCCTGCCTCAGCTACTTTTGAAGCACTGAAGCAAGGACATTGGGAATTTGGCAGGATTCAGAGAGCCACTGAGATGAATGGACGTAGTTCATGTCTTTCATAACCTGTTCAACACTCCACTGCCATCTCAGACTACCTGGTCTATAAATGTAGATGGGAGTACATCTGTTTGCAGTTGGAAGGCTACTTTTAGAAAATGCTTAGACCTGAAATGTAGCATTTTTTCACTATGGGCACATATTAAACCTGTGACATTGAGAAAGATAAGGCTTGTAGCTTACCACTGACAAAAATATCACTGATTAGCCAAACATACCAGAGCACTTCAAAATGCCTGCCTAAGACAGAGGCGTTTTTAATGTTTAAATAATCAATTTATGAATTGATAATTATGTTATATTTTATTAATTAATTTTAATATTGAAATAATAAATTCAATTAATTAATAAAAAGAATCACAGTTTTCAGAATTTCAAAAGAAGCTGTATTAATGAGAGCCTTAATATGCTGGAAACTGTGGACTGAAAGTGGCAGCTAATGGAGTTCTTACCCCAAGATAGTAGAGTACAACTGGAATGACACATTGCTTTCCTCATCCAGGTGTTGCCTCAAATTGCTGATAATGTGGGAAATGCTGATATGTAACCTTCTGGATGTTGTGTTTACCATACCTACATTTTAAGGTTATGCAGGGTCACTCCTATTATAAGCATAGAGAGAAACCAAGTGATAATACTATTCCAAGGGAACTGCATTTTCTTTATTATGGTCATATTTTTACCTTTGATGTCACTTAAATGTTTCCTCTAAACAGTGCAGTCTAATTCTATTTATCCCCTAATGAAAACACCTAAACAATCCCATGCAGGGGCTCAAGGGAGTGTGTGGTTGTACAGGCAGAGTTATCCTCAGACAGTTGAAGGGTAGAGGAGTAATTTATGGGGTTTTTTTGAACAGTAAGTGTCCTCTATGGATCTATTTTCTTTGATTTTGGAATTTAGAAGAGTGTACCTGATTTTTGTTGAATAAAAGTGTAGGTCGGAAAAATGAGAATTACGGGAAATAGGGAAAAATTGGACTAGCCACCTTCTGAAAACTGTAAGAGTACTATACACAAGCTTTTGAAAGGTAATGATAAGGAATTTATATTCAATCAGTTTTGGAGGAAAACAATAATAAACTCATCTGTTTTTCCACTGCTGAATGCCAAACCCTTCTAAATACTGTAAATCAGAATAAAACAGATAACCCCCCCCTTTATACAGTGTCTTAGAATAAAATGAGGTTATCTATTCAAAATGGGGAGAAAAATTATCAGAGAGAAGAAAAAGGACATGAAAAGCTATGTCTGGCTGTTCATTGAATAAGTTTTAGGACTGAAAAAGACTGTTTATAAAGCTTGGGAAGAGGGAATTAAGATGGATTTTAGTTGAGTGATTGGAGGCAAGTGGTTGAAGGCAATATAAATAATTTCTGGATATTGAACACCCATTTTCCAGTATGAGGTAGTCTTAAAATAACTTACTATCTCTCTTTTGGACTGAATGTTCCTCTGTGAGGTCTAAACCCAAGCAGCCACTGTGGTGCTGGTATCCATGTGTGTGATTTGCTCAACCTTCACTGTGAGATTCAGAGAGGCACATAGAGGCACTGCAGCTCTGCAAGGGCGGATCCCTCAAACACATCGCACGCACTTCCAGACTTCACTGAATTCAGTTGCAACCTTCTTCAGAAACATATCAGAGGAAGAAATGATTCACCGGTGTTGCTTATTAGCATGCAAGGGGTTACAATGTGCGCTCAAGAATTGCCTTCTTCAGCCTTTTTGGGTTCAAAGCCTCACCTCCTGTTTCTCATTCCTCCCACTGGAGCCTGGTGACTGTGTAGGGAGAGATGAAAGATTCCCAGAGCCAATAGGAAAATAAACAAAACCAACCCCCTTTTGCTTGGCCAACACTGGAAGCAGAGCTGGGATCCCAGGGCTCTCAATCCCACGGTTTTGGAAAGTTCCTTTCAAGTCCTTTCATTTCTTACAAGGATGGAATCCTGCATGCCTGCCTGAGATGAAACTTCTGTCTTCCTTAAATATTCCCCTGGAGTTCTGTTTTAATAAAACAGCAGTAGCACTACCTGAAGTGGAAGAAGTTGTACTGCATACCGAAAAGGTTATATATATATTAAAAAATATGATGCCATTTATGATGATGTTCATGAAGCTCAGGAGGGAGTAAATCATTCCCATCTCAGTTTGTCAGACTTTATGAGCAATAGATTTGTCTGCTCAAACAGTAAAAGCAAGATCAGGGCTACACTCTTTAGCCATATGATAAAAATACTCTAAAACAACCTAAATGAAAAATATCTATAGTTCTGAGTGAGACAATGTTCATGCAATAACCTTTACATTAATTAGCATCCTTTAATTTCTTACAGAGTGCACTTCATTTTATCTACACCCAGCACTGAGGACACCTTTCTAAGACAGGGTGGACCATCTCTGGTTTTAAGTACAGATTTGTAGCATGCACATGAACAATTCTCGAGATACTTGATGGATTATCACAAGAAGTGCATAATAATAAA